TCCGTGTATGACTGCTGTCTATTTTAATGAAGGCTTGAAGACTTCCGTTTCTAACTGCGTAACCCGAACTCTGCCACCATAGTCCTATTTATAAGTCCTGAATCAGGAAAGAACGCAGAAAATGGACAAAAGGCCTAAATTAGACTTGTCAAGGAGTCTTTAGGAACTGGTTGTCATCTGGGTTTTTTTTTTTTTCTGGAAACTGTGCAGTGTAGTCTAGGAGACCAGGGAGGAGGTCGCCTCTGTGGGCCAATGTGCTGCTTCTTCCATACTCAGGTCAGCTCTAGGTCTGCCAGGGCTGTGCTGTGCATGCCAGGAACGAAGGAAGAGCAAAGAGGAGCTCCAACTGTCACACACACACACAGACACACACAGACACACTGCAGCACAGAATTCTCCTTCTAGCAAGGCTTTCTCCAGCTTTGGAAATGTCTTTAGCTAGGGTGGTCTCAGGGAGAGAACATTGGACTTGGGGTCAGTCAGCTTTGCTGTTAGACTAAACATGTAGGATTTCTCTGGCAGATTGCAATTCATTCTAGTCCCCATCAAGGGGGAAAAATGTGAGAAGAGTGTGACCAGGTTTTTAAAGGGGCCCGTGTTGTTTCAAGTTATGGTCAGATGAGCTCGGAGTTTTCAGTGAGTATCTGATTTGTGAGCCACCTGCTGTTCCTCACTGGAGACCTCAGGTGAGCAGGTGGCACTTCCCCCTGGCCCGTTCAGCGGCACCTCTACAGCGTGGGGCTGGCCGCTGCTGGGCAATCTGCTCTTCTTGAACTTGACAGTTGCTGTGCTTTATCATCAACCACTGCTCAGTGCCACTGGCTTCTTTTTGGCAAGTGCAAGCAGTGGTGTGAGATGGATGAAATGACTTTGGCCCTTCTCCTTGGCGCCTACGGACGCTCGGATCCACACAGAGAACATCAAGGTCTTACACACCTCTCCAGAAGCAGCACTGGAATTAGCTTCTGCTGCGACCATGACTTTGTCCGTAGGCACAGCTGGCAGAGCATGCCCTTCCTTCCCCAGTGCGTATACTTCCTGTGGCATCATTCTTCCTTCCTGCAATGTCATCTCAGCGTTTTCAGAACCCTGTAATGAGCAGAGCCATTGTACTTTTCTGAGATTGAAAATATCTACACTGAACGAGGCTTTTCTTGCTGAAAGCACTTTGGGCGACATGGAGATCATGAGAGGAGTGTCACTCCCACGCAACGGGCTGGCATAGGCTCACCACTTTGGCTGAGCCCAGCGCTATCTGTGGAAAGGTTAAAGCAGCTCTGAGCAGGGCATGCTTGTCCATCTGGAGGAGGACTTTACAGAGCCTGGGCTACCAGCCCTGCATCTCCAGCTGTTGGTTGTCATCGTGTTTCTGGGTATCTCCCTCTACCCACCTGTGTTCAGGAGTCCTATTGTTGCTTCCTCTTCCTGTTAGTAAGGTTGCGGTGTGAGGAGTGTCACTTAGCAACTCATGGAAAGGTATATGACAGGTGGTCATTGCGTCGTCTCCACAAAGCTTGCCTCGAAGGTGGACATGGTCTTTGCTTGGTTCACTGTGAAGGCCCCTGGCCAGTAGCTTGGAGCTCTCGAAATGTGGCTGCTGCAACTGAGTCACTAGGTTTCAATGTTATGTGAATTCAGGCGTAAGCAGTAAGTACAGCAAGAGGCATATTGAGGAGTGCCAAACTTCAATTCTTTTTTTTTTAAAGATTTATTTTTATTATTTTTTATTGGAAAGGCAGATATACAGAAAGGAGAGACAGAGAGGAAGATCTTCCATCCGATGATTCACTCCCCAAGTGAGCGCAACGGGCCGATACTATGCCGATCCGAAGCCAGGAGCCTCTTCCGGGTCTCCCACGCGGGTGCAGGGTCCCAAAGCTTTGGGCCGTCCTCTGCTGCTTTCCCGGGCCACAGGCAGGGAGCTGGAAGGGAAGCAGGGCTGCCAGGATTAGAACCGGCGCCCATATGGGATCCCGGGTGTGCAAGGCGAGGACCTTAACCAGTGCGCCACCGCGCTGGGCCCAAACTTCAATTCTTAATGGGAGACTTGATTGCCTATCGAAGTTTAACATGGCAGAAAATAAATAGCATCCCTTTCTAATATTATATCAATAAATTATCTTACAAGCTCACAGCTTGTGCTAACCTTCATTACTTGAACTACAAGAGGATCCTACTGATTACTTGAGTGATGTTTCACCATCGTCATGTTTCCAAACTTTAATTAGCCATCTAGGAAGCCTTTGAAAGTGATCGTTGAGTGTGAGGAAAACATTTGGGCTCCCGCTCTCACTGTGGCAAAAGATGGAGAGAGATGCAAGGAACAGGTGGCACATGCGATGTAGGTGAACCTGTCCTGAGGCACCCCACTGCAGAGCTTGTCCGTGTCGTGTGGCCTCCAGAACCCAACAGGACAACACAGCAGCAAGGGGAGAACCTCTTCCCAGCAATTGGGTTTCCATCTCTGACACATGCTGGGTTAAGTGGGTTTTTTTAATGCAAAATGCCCTGCTGTTTCAGAGCTCAAACCTCGGAGTCTGTACTCAGCGTGTGTTTTTCATTCATGCAGAAAAATAAGATTTTGTAGGTGCTGGCACCATGATCGGCTTTGTGGCTGAAGGCAGGGCAAGCCATCACAGGTGGCTCCTGGCACCTGACAAACCCCCAATGCACCAGAGTCAAGAGTACCGAGTGAGTCAGCAAGTGGAGATGGGCTTTGAGGAAGAAGGATCATGGGAGGGGTAGGGGCCTGGGGCAGAAGAAACTCCTTCAAATCATTCTGCAGCCTGGTAGTCCACAGTATCTGCCCATTTCTTGTGCTGCTGCTTCTAGACACTAGGTGTTGACACATGCTCCTAGTTATCTGGGTGTTCTTTCAGTGTGGACTTAAGGCCATCAGAACTTGTGTGTACAAGGAACACCATTAGCTCAGTGCGCAAATGGGAGCGCTGGGCCCATGCCAGGGGAAGAGTCAGTCTGTAGAGGATTGGGCAGTCAGGGAAGCTCATGAAACCATGCACCCACAGAAGCAAGGCCTTACAGAGGCTGTGCTTCCAAGTGGCCACCACGACCCAGAGCCTGGGAGCAGACAGGGACACCCGCAATCTTCTGCACACCCATCCCTTTCAGGGACCTCCCCACACAGCTGCAGAGGAGGAGTAGAAAGTGGGGCAATAGCAGAGGGCAGACCAGCAGCGACACTTATCCAGAATCTCGAAGTCTAGGCTGAGGCTTTAGGACAGCTCAGAAACATTGAAATAAGCCCATGAAAGTTGGCTTCTTTTTTTTTTTAAGAGCTTGACAAAAGCCCTTGCTGTTGAGTATCTCCCTCACCTGCTCCTAAGCCTGACCTACCCATAATGCCTCTGCAAGAGTTCTAAGGGCATTGGTAGCATCGTCAGCAAAGCCAGACACACAGCAGGTGAAGCTGCTCTGGGATTTGCCTGAGCTTTAGTGTGAAAACTGTTCAGGCCAGAGACAGCCAGGCCAGCAGAGTCCATGTAGCTGCCTCTGGGAACTGCATCATGCAATGACACTGACAGGTGATTAGAGGGTGGTCCTGATGGCTCTCCACAGTGCACCTCTTTAGTAGCCCCCTGATGCCCCAGGCCACTGCACCTGCTCCTACTGCTGATCCACGGGAGACCAGCTCCCACAGTAAGGTGCTTGATCGCCCTCAGCCTCCCAACTGAGGTATATAGTTTGCTGCCCTTGCAAGAGACTCTCATTCTGGCATCATTCATTCTTATTGTGTTTGGATTGCCGCGGCCAGTGGACCCAAGTTATGCTGACTCTGGAGCCTCCTGCTCCATTCGTCTTCCCTGCTTTTCCTTGATGTGCCTCCCATGCTGACTCTGTCCTTGAGGTCTGTGCAAAACCACAGCAAATCGCCCCTGGAATAAAGTTTCTTTACACCAGGGGTAAGAGTCAGTTCAGCCAGGGGCCTCTGATTTGGGGAGTGATTTACACACCAGCAGTGTGGAGAACAGACTGCTCACCAGCCCACATCTGCACTAGGACTAGGCAAGGCCATCAGAATGGAGGCCCTGTGAGAAGCCTTAGTGGTTCATAAGAAGAGGACAGGGACCCCCATATGCACTGCCGCACTCTCTTACAATGTGGTACCCTGTGCCACCTCAGCTGGCAAGAGTGCAGTCTGCTAGGTGTGGGCCCTCAAGCCTTCTCAGTGGACTTCTTTTTACAGTCATGCAAAGATGGCATCCATTGTGTAAGAGCACATGGGTTGTCAACCTTGCTATTGTGTGGGCATCGGTTTCACCAGTGTGCAGGCCAGGGAGCGTGTCCTGGGAGATGAGAACGTGTAGTGTTGTTCTTTCCTGTCCTACTCAGGAGTGACTTCTGCAGACCCCACTCCTCTCTGTGCCAAATCCTTGTGTTTCAGGGCTCCTCGTGACCCTACTGCAGTGATTGTCACTCATCCCCTTCTCATGCCCAGTGATTTTGTAGAGATGGAAAGCACCAAACCAGACAGTCTGCAAAACCAGAAAATGCTAAGAAAATATAAAGTCCAGACATTGCAGTTCAGCCCCGGCTGTTGCTCAGAGGATGCCCTGCTCCAAAAACGTGGACATGCACCTGCAAAGTCGCACAGGTTTTAGTGCAGAGTCAGGGTCCAATGAGCTGAATGAAAGCACATGCCCTGGAAAGCAGCTCGCACTCCCGCAGTGCTGACTGGGGGCCCGTGGCCGAGCCTCCAGACTTTGCTTTTCCCTGGCAATGGCTCACCTCCTTCTCCCCAGATAGCCTCACTCAAAAACAAAGTCATGCATGATGAATTGCAAGACATGGGTACCCGGAGTGGTGAACATCCTTGCTTGGGTCAGGACAGTAGATGTATATGAGGATCTGGTCACTGCCTTCCAGGTAGTCAGCAGGGCAGAATCCTGCAACAGAGGGAACAGTGGTGGCATTGCAGATGAGCTCCCTATGCCCAGTGCTGGTCACCCCTGGCTTACAGATGTGTTTTCCTTTCTTTGTAGATCACATTTTATATTCTGGTGAAGGCCATTTACACCCTGGGCTACAGTGTCTCTCTGATGTCTCTTGCAACCGGAAGCATAATTCTTTGCCTCTTCAGGTAAGGAGTGGAAATGACCAGTGGTGCAAAAAGAGATAGGTACAGAATCTGTGTAGGACTACTGGGTACCTTGGGGAAGGTAGGGGTGTGTGTGTGTGTGTGTGTGTGTGTGTGTGTGTGTGTCTGTGTGTGAGGGAGAGAGAGAAAGAGAGAGAGAGAGAGAGAGAGATCAGTTCCTCCCAGCTGAAGCCAGCCTTCTCTCAGTGCTAACCTTAGACAACTCCTTTGCAGAATGCTGGCCTGAAATTCGGTGCTAACGTTTCTGTCTTTATTTCAATATTCTGCACTTCTTGCATAAAGATATAATACTGGCTTTGGATAAGAATTCAACTTAGCTCTCATTCATCAAACACTCAGTTGTTATGCAAATGGCTGGAAAATGCAGAAGCAATATGATCTTGCCCGTGCACACAGAAGCTCCTTTCTGTGCTGAGAGATGCTGAATTGTGTTTAAGCTCATGAAGGAAAGAATGAGATTGTAGTGGCTTAAGACCTAAATCAGTCTCTTAGTAGTTCTGTAACCTTGGGCAGGTGAACCTTTCTCTGCAGCTATAGCATATGGATTCCCATGGAGGCTGTGTCTAAAAATTGTTGTATTCTACATGACAGCGCATGGGAAGGGCTTCGAGAACATATTGTGTGAAAAGAAATACCCAACTCTGCCTAGTTTTTCCCTTGTAGTGAATTTAGGTTATTTCCTGACCACTGGGAGTTTTATCCTTTTTGGTATGTAATGACTGCTTTACAGGTGCCTGATCAGGGTGAAAGCATAGAGGCTTTGATGCCAGAATAGAGGAACAAAGTGAATCACAGTTAAAACCAGTCTGCAGCTCACTAGTACTAAATAAAACAGAATACACACAGCTTATTTTGGAAGTATTTTGCTTACTTTTTTTTAATTTGGAAAGAAGGATGAAAGAGACACGAGCTACAGAAACTTCATGTAGCACAGGAGCCCAAGCACTTTCTGCCGCTTTTCTAGGCACATTAGCAGGGAACTAAGTTGAAAATGGGGCAGTCAGTTGAACCAGTGCTTATATGGAATGCCAGTGTCACAAGCAGAGGCTTAACCTACTGTGTCACAACTCCAGCAGAGTTGTGACCCCCCACAAATCTCATTTCTTTTTGCTAAAATATAATTCAAACTCTGGCCAGTGCAGTTTGGAAATACGTCAGTGATAGAACCAATAGGATATTTCTAGATCTTCAAACAATCCACTGGATGTCTAAATATGGAAGTAAAAGAAATGACTCAGGGGTGGTGAGGAATATAGCCGAGAGTCTCAGCAGGTGTTCCTTAGTTCCGTGCATCCATTTCCAGAGATCTCAGCTATGGTTTGTAACATAGCCGTGAATTTGTACCTAAAACCCAGGGTTATACTTGGAAATGTGTGGGGCAGATCTATCAGAGCCTAATTCTCTCTTTTTAAAAAGGCTCGGCTAATATTAATAGCTGTTTAATGTCCGTGTGTATTCTTCTGTGAAGTTCAAAGCATTTACATAGTGAAAGAGAAAATGCGACAGAAAAGGAAGCTTTTGAGAGGTAAACCAGCAGAGGAGAAGCCACTTGTTCCCTTAGTACGGAGCAATCTGTCTTCTTGACATACATCCATTTGTACAGCATGGTGTGTCCACTTAGCCAACCTGAAGGCATTTTAGAATTAGTGCACATGTGGACATTGATCCTGGAAGAGTCTGAAATGATTTGATGGGCAGTGAACACCATCTTCTATAGAAGACATCATTAGTCACCTAAAGGGGCTTGTCTGCATTGGATGTCATTTTGCTGACAACTAAACATGTAGTGTTTGCTAGAATAGAACAGTATCATGTGCCATTGTCCCCGGAATCACACGTGAGAAGCCCAGTTCTTTGCAGTCGATGAGCGAGGAGCGTTGATTCACAGTAACCCCATGAATAAGAAATTATTAAGTAACTGTGCTCCTATTTTGCACACAGAGAAAGGAAACGGCTTCTTTCTTAAGCCAAATCCAAAAGCACAATGTAAAGCCCTGGTTTTACTTGGCAGGTGTTGCCTGGCAACACCCAGAGAAGGGGTTCTGAGCCCAGCAGTCAGGGCAAGAATCACCAGTGCCCACCATGCTGGGTAATCTGTAGATGCTTACTTAGTTCAGTTTTCTCTTCATCACTAAGTCCTGTGGCCATTCCAGTTTTACCAGAGAGGTTGCAAAATGCCCCAGGGTTGCAGGGCTGACAGTACACAGCACTGCTGAAATCACGGTCTTGGCACAACAGCCACATGTCCTGGTCACTGTCAGGTGTTCCATATCCACAAAGCCCATCTGGAGCCAGGACCAACTGGCAGCTCCCAGTCTTCTTTTCTGGAAGTCATACTTAGCAATTAGATCTATCACCCACTCGTCTCTCCATACCTGGAAGAGACATGTTAAAATGAGCAGCTGGAGGACAGGAGTTAACAACATCCCTGTCCCACTGGGAGTTTCTGGTTTAATACCAAGCTCCAGCTTTTCTCTTTCAGCCTCCGGCTAATGAAGATGCTGAGAGGGAGTGAGAGCTCAAGTAGTTGGTTCCCTGACATCCAAGTAGGAAACCTGGATTGAATCCCTGGCCCTAGCCCAGCCCTAGCCATTGCAGCATCTGGGGAGCGAGTGTGAGTGGAAGCTCTGCCTGTCCATATGCCTCTGTCTTTTTGTGTCTCAAATTTGTTAATTAATGTCATCGTTAAATTATTAATGAAAGTAACATGATGAGCAATGAATATAAAGTAGAAAATTGAGACACCCGGCAAATAGTATTTGCTTGAATATGACCTGCTAACTGGGACGAAATGCACTCATCTCTAGATGTTAACTGTAGTTCCAAACCCCACTCCCCTGCAGACATGGATGAGGGGAGGGGGAAGAGCAAAAAGGGAAACAATAATGAGAAGAGATGAGTGCCGCTAGCCTGAGAGGTAAAAGACCAAACAATACAAGAGACAAAGTTTTGCACTCTGAGGGAGCCACTTACACTCCACCAGGGCACAGCTTTACCAGCGGCTGGCATGGCAGCACACAGTAGCCCCCACAGCCCATTCTAAGGGCTCCCACAACAGCAGGGACATCACAGACCATGCTCACAGCTCTTCACTCTTACTGTGGAAGTGGGGCGGTGCTGTCTATACAAAAACAAATCTTTATAGAGGAAGTACACACACAGGACGGTGGGTAAGCATCCAGTGTCCAGTCAGGTGCGTGAGTGCATGAAAAACTAAGGACATCTTCACAGCAGAGTGACCACTGTGAGTCCATAACCACCACCTTGCCAATGGGTAATCGTTGTTCACATTTCTGGCATCAGTGATTACTTTAGCCTCTTTTTGAAAATACTATCTTGAGATCATAAAAATATACTCATGCCTGGGTTGTCTCTTTCATAATTTTGTGAGAAGATTCATTCATGTAATCGCATGTAATTATCATGTTCTACTTTATAGCTGTAGAGAAGAATGTATTAGAAGTCATCTACTTAATTACTCAAAATCACATAAGTGATTTTCAGTTTGGGACATAAAAAATAATGCTATTGATATTCTTATGAATTGGGGTCAGTATATCTGCTGTAAGTGTGCTTATATAAGAGATCTTAAAATTTTCATGCAAAATCTACATGTTGTGGGCGTTGGTATTGGGCCGGAAAGTTGTCATAGATATGATGTTGATGTCTCATATTCAAATGCCAGGGTTCAGCAATCAGCTCTGGCTCCTGACTCGGCTTTCTGCACATACAGATCCCAAGTGGTTGGCTTCCTGCCATCCATGCGAGAGACCTGGATTGCGTTTCCAGTTCTCAGCTTAGGTCCCGTTCCAACAATGGCCACTGTGGGCATTTGGGGACTAGGCAAGCAGAAGGAAATGTACTCGCTGTCTCTCTCTGTCTTAATATTTATTTTTTTAAAAAAGAAAAGTATAAAATAAATGTTATGGAAAAACTATACATAGATCTTTACTTTTATGCATGTCATGAAAAATGTGTATTACTTAAACACTAAGCATGGATTTCAAACAATTTTTGTACTTACCTTTTAATCCATTTTCTGATGAACATTTTAAAGAGCAGGTTTAAATCTGTGTTTATGTTTCTGTGTAGTGTTAATGTGCTGTGTGTAGAGTTAGTCTTTCTAAAGACTGTTGAGTAACTTCCAAAGTGATTGCAGCAGGTCACATACCCACCAACAGTGGTCATGGCTTCTGTTTACTCTGTACCCTTGCCACCAGTTGGTATCATCATCAATCAAACGTCATAGGTTAGTAGACTGGATTAGAAAACAAGACCCATCTATTTGTTGCCTACAGAATACATAACTAACCAACAAAGATCAGTGGAAATTATATCTCATGAATTTTGATTTTTTTTTTTCTGTTTCATCTCTTCAAAACACTTTCCATTAAATTCTTCACTGACTCATAGATCATACAGTAGCATCATTTTATTCAAGAAGCTTTTTGATTTTCTTTTTCATTTCTTCAGTGACACATTAGTCATTCAGTAGCATGTTATTTAACTTCATGGCGTTGTAAATTTCTATTTGTCTTCCTGTTGCTGATTTTGTATTGTGGCTTTTAATTTAATGGGATGTATAGTAGTAACTGTATGAAGGAGACTATCATATCCAGATGTGAGGGTACAATGCAGTATGCATCTCTACTTCCAGACAAAGATGGACTCCCAATGAAACTGTTTACTATATCTTGACAGTAGGATGCTGGACTCTGCCGTTATCCATGCCCACAATGTGGACATATGACTGTGTATGAAAAACTATTCTATAGTTATAATACAGGGGAACTTTGTGGGAGTGGGGAGGGAACTGGGGTGTAGAGGGAAATCCCAGGACCTATGAAAATGTATCATAAAATGATAATAAAAAAAACCTTCAGCCATCCTAGTGGGTCTGTAATAATAGAAAATCATATTTCTAATTTGAATTTCCCTGGCTATAATGAGTTCATATGTTTTAGAAAAACTTTTTTTAAAAA